CCTGTTCTGTCAGGAGGAAAGCGGATCCCTTTTACTTCCTGCACAAAAGGCCCCTGGACTTATTTGTTTGCAATTTGGCAGGCTTAATCCACTCTGGCAAGGCTCGTGTGTCTGTAAATTTCATCCACTTTGGCCAAAAAGGAAAAACATGTTTTTAGATTCCTTGTTATGGCAAATGGGAAACACAGAACTTACCGGTAGTTCTATTCAGAGTGACTCAAAACCCAAAACACACTGAAGTAGAGAGAACACAGAACAACTCAGAAACAGACTGATTAAAAACAAACAAACAGGGAGAGAGATAAAAAGCAATTCTTGGGACCTTCACACACCCTAATGCTTTAATGACTGTCATCTTAATGAATAGTAATATCTACTTTCCCATGTATCCCTTCTCAAAATGGTTATTATTATGCAGACAGAATGGATTACCTGACACAGCCAGAAATTATTATTCAAAAACAGCTAGGAGGAAAGTAGGTCTGTGTTTTTATCCTATTAGCATTACTCACTTTGACTGACACTGGTAGAAAAGAGACACATCCAACAAGGGACAAACAGACATACAACGGAAGTCTAGAGAGAGTCAAAAAATGAAAAAATAACAACTCCTGCCCAGAGACAATGCTGCAGATACCAGATGTTGATCTGCCTGCAGGGAAATGTTGCCAGAAGCCAAGAGCAATAAGAAAGCCCCCAGCAAAGTCAAATATAAGATCGTTTTGGAGGCTTGTTATTCCTTGTTATTATTGCCGTTTGTACCATTCTCTCCTACAGGTCTTGGCAATCCTTTCATGAAAAATATTTTTTAAACAAGACACGCTGTCTTGCTGGCCTACATTGCCTTCCTGAAACCAAAGAGAGGATAACATGAGGACTGTGCTATGCGCAGAAGGCACATTTTGAATTTGTGCATGTGCGTTTCTTAAGTGTCTGGCTGGCAAAGGATGTAAGAATTGATCCCAGGACATTCTCTACCTGCCCCCCTTAATTGTTTGGACAAGGGCAATCTTAGGATAGATGTGAGAGAAATACAGGGATGTTTTCAATAAAAGCTGAAGGTTGTATGATAGATTAGAGCAGGCTTCCTCAATCTCGGCCCTCCAGATTTTTTGGCCTACAACTCCCATGATCCCTAGCTAGCAGGACCAGTGGTCAGGGATGATGGGAATTGTAGTCTCAAAACATCTGGAGGGCCGAGATTGAGGAAGCCTGGATTGGAGCATGGAAAGTTGATCTGTGGCCCTCCAGAGGTTGCTGAACTACAACTCCCATAATTCCTGACAGTTGGCTACAAATTCCTCATCCGTTGACTGGAGGCATCATGTTCGTTGTGTAAAAGCTAATTTGGCCCAACCCCTTTCTGTTTAACTTGGGGCCCCAAAGAAAACCAGATTGGCATGTATCATTGTGAGTACAGTATAGCACAAATTGTGTAGTTTCTGGCAATTGCGTAGACTGGAGCAAATTCAGTTGCCTGTTCAGAACTGGCCTTGCCAGCCTAAGTTTCGCAGTCTTATTCCTTGTCAGCAGCAGTTCTTTGGAGCATCAGTGTGCTATTTCTCTAGAAAAAGAAGTACAGTGATACCTCGGGTTACAGACGCTTCAGGTTACAGACGCTTCAGTTACAGACTCCACTAACCCAGAAATAGTACCTCGGGTTAAGAACTTTGCTTCAGGATGAGAAAGCGTGTTCTCCCTAACAGAGAGCACGTGTTGCGGTGGGGGCCAGCAGGCCACCCCACTGTTGCTGGGCAGTTACGTTTGAATGGCCACAGGCAGTGATTGGCTAATTTGAGTCTCTGGGGAGATTTTGTTGTTGCCAATTTGGAGGAGGAGTCAAAGGTTTTAAATACTAGACACGCAGCTTTGGGCGTCCTCTTGGGCTGCGTGCACCAGATCACCCTCCCACTCTCCCTGAATTGGGAGGGTTCTTTCTTTGACCTTGCTATGCCTGTCATGGGGTTGCCTGCTTTTGGGGCAGGGGCCTGGTAGGAATTTTGTCCATTTGGCTGATTGGCTGGTGCCATTTGGTTTTTGCCTACTGCGCAGCAAATCATCACAACTTGTAAGGTTTGCGGTTAGGCATTGGTTCAAATTGGTTGGTGGAGGGGTAAGTGCCTACCCCTCCAATGGTGATGCGGAAAGGGAATTCCGTTAAAGGAATCCAAGGGCTTGCCATTCTCTTCGTCCTTGTCCCTGGCAGCGGACTTGGGCTGTGCAAGCCCCCGGGAGCATGAGGGTGAGAAGTGAGGAACTGATGCCAAGCTTCATTTCTCCCCAATATGGTTCTCCCTGACTGGCTTCCGCTGGAATCCGGAAGTCAGTTCTGTCCCTGGGACAAGGACAGATAGTCGTAACCAATGCCTAAGCAACCACTCACTTGTGTGTATTTCAATAAAGTTGTGGCCAGAATCATGCCAAAAACCTTAAACAAAATTGATGTGTGAAGTGTGAGTTTATTTGGGGTGGCTTGGGGACCTCGACATGCAACAGAAATCATGCGGCAAGGGTGGCGCGGCAGCAATGGGAGGCCCCATTAGCTAAAGTGGTGCTTCAGGTTAAGAAGAGTTTCAGGTTAAGTACGGACCTCCGGAACAAATTACGTTCTTAACCCGAAGTACCACTGTCTCAGAACCCAGCACGAGCAGCTCCCTCTTCTATTAGAATGGCAATGGCACCCACCTGAGAGGTGCCAGAACTGAGTTCCTGTGATTTCCTGCTGGAAAAAGCCCTGATTTTACCACTGCAGACAGTGTGACAAATTTTTGACAGAAGAGAAACTGCAGCATAACAGAAATCAATGCCTTCTTGCACCCCTCTTACCTAATATGGTAGCCTATCCATTTGCAGACATTGTTCTTACTCCATTCTCTTTCTTCTGTATCAATCTTTCTGACTTAAAAAACAGCAACCCAACTTTTGAGGCATTCCCTCTTCTCCATGTCTGAACAAACTAGTGTATATTTTCTTGTCCAGTGTTGCATACTCTACTTGCTCTACTTTCTGTTAGCCTGAAATCAAAAGATTTTTTTGTTAAAACAATGAAAAAATTAACACCTTGGGGGGGTGATGGGGGGATAATTTGTAGTTTGAAAGGGTGATAATGTCTAGACTTTGGCACACAAAGCAGAATTTTGACATAAGCCAAAAAAATCTTGTTGGTTCAGCTGCAGCAGTGCTCAGATGGACAGAAATCCTTCAAACTTCAAAGGGAAATGTGGCTTATGAGCATTTCAAATGTGTTTTGGTTGCAATGTGATCATCCCTATCTGCTGGGTAGCTTTATTTAATATCCTGTCCACCTTCCATTCCAAATCTGTGATGTCTAGAAGTGACAGTCCTCCTTATTGTAACCCTGGTTGCAGTATCTACACATCTGTGTAAGCAATGGGAAATAAATGCACACAAGACAGTGTCTACAAGAGAAAATCGGCAACAGCAGATGAAACATCGCAGATTCAAGGAGAAAGTTCTAAAGCAGACAGGCAGCAACTGAGAATAACTCTTTACATGTTCGAGCAGTTGTGAGTGCTGCAGGCAGCATTATTGAGCACTAGCTACAATTCTGTTTTAAACTAGCAAACTGGGATATATAATAGACAATTGGTAACCCCTTAAGAAAACAAGGCTGGTGCCCAGCCAGGTGACAAAAGTATGAGTCACACAGCACACCTCTCTCTTTTTGACTTCCTTCATCGTTTGACCAGATTCTAACTAGGACTGCTCTGCTAGCTTTTCAGCTAGCAGCAGCACTGGATCATTCCCCCATAAGGGGTAGATCCACATGTACATATTTGTAACAAAGGCTACCTTCAGGGATCCAACTGTGAACTGATGTAAGTAAACTTCTTTTATTGACTTTGAATAAGATTGTGGTGTATTCATTCTTTTTAAGAGGGATTCAAGGGAACTTACCAGGAACGTACAATTCAATCGGAGACAGATTGAATTGTATAATAGTGAGAGGCTTACACAAGCCTGCAACCAGCTATCTGCTGTGGTGTGTAAAGGGGAATGCACTCTACTAAGTAAAGGAACTGGCTAACACAAGTTAGGAAGGATATTAATAAACAATATATCCTCTCCTGCCACCCTGAACATTCTCACATGTTTTCCCTCAGCTTGAGGGAAGGCTGCAGCGTTATCGGCTGCCCTGGTCTCCTTCAGCGTGAGGGAAGGCAGCTCAGATGAGCAGTGTTATCAGCTGAGATCATTGTGCGATATGGGCAGTGCCTTGAAATCGGCTGCCCTGCTCTCCCTCGCACAAAGAGCTACATATCGCTGCTTATTGCTGGGTCAAAATCGTCACCGCGGTGTGATTTCAAAACCGATTTTGGCCAATATGTTGAAAAATTGCACAGCGCTAAAACAGACCATAAAAATTGTAGTTATCATGCAAAAATGACAAAAAAATAGTGATATGGGAGAGGCAAGGTATGGGGTTGCGGACCCCCGGGTGAGTTCCACGGACCCCTGATTGGGAACCACTGCCCTAGTTTGCTTGAACAGCAAACTAGTAAATGCAGATAGTTAAAATAATTTTTGCTTAATATATTTGTGATAAAAGAAGATGTATACAGAGAGAAGAGGGTCAGAAAAAGAAGACACCTGCGGGGGAGACAGGCCAGAGTGGTTTTTCTCATGGTGGGAGGCTGAGAAAAGGGGAAGGCTTTACTAGGTGAGAGCTGCTAAGACTCATTTCTTTGTATGTGAATTGAAGATCAAGATAGAACGGTGATGGAAGCTATAGATAGATAGATAGATATCTATATAGAAAGATATATGGATATTACTTTTTTTTCCCTTCTCTTTCCCCCCCTTTTTCTTGCTCTTATGTTTCTCTCTCTTTGTATTATTTTCTTTATTTTGTATTAGATTTGTTTCATTATTATTGCATTATATGCTGCAAAAGTTTAATTTTTTTTAAAAAAAAAGTATTGAAAAAGATGGATTGACAGAACGTTGAAACTGATTGATGGAGGCAAAAAAAAGAGGAGATGATGGATGAGGTGAAAAAGCAAAGCCCTCTAGAGCGTAGCTCCTAATGGCAGAGAACATGACCAGAAGTTCTTTATGAAGAGAACTGGCCAACACAAGGACATAGCATTCGATCTAGGAAAAAGATAATCAGTTCACAACAACAGACAATAAGGCCTGGTAGTTGCTAACAAACTTTTTAAACAGGGGGCCAGTTCACTGTCCCTCAGACACTGTTGGGGGCTGGACTATAGTTTGAAAAAAACATGAACTTTTATACCTCCAAAATAACCCATGCAATTCGTGTTTGGGCAGCACAAGTCTACCTACTACTATTCTCCTTCCCACACCACTTTTTTTTGGGGGGGGTCTGGCAACCAGCGCCCCAATATTTGGGGAAGAAGTCTCCCCCACTTCCAAACCACCTGCTACGCCGGCCGCAGCACCTGGGCGTTCAGCTGGTTAAGTTCAGCGTCTCCAGCACCGGCTTGCGCGCAAAGCTCAGCAGCCCCAACGTGCGCCCAGATCCGACGCACTCGCCTCCCTGGCCTCCGGCACCCGGCTTCTCCCCACTGCACTCTGCCCCTGCTGGCACAGCCGCTTCCGCTTCCTGGGCTGCTACTACTCGCGAGTAAGGCCAGCTGGGAGGTCTCTGCCGAGGAAAGTGCACAGGAGTTGGCGGGTTGGGGGTAGATGGGGGTGGGTGTCAGGCCTTGCGCTCCTGCCCTGCAGTCGGATTGGGTCTACTCGGAAACAAGCCCCATGGGTTTTCTTCTGGCAACTTACTTCCGAGGTAAGGGTCACTTGGAGCACGTCTAGTCCATGGAAACACCTTGCCTCACTGGTTTTAAATCACCACGCAGGGACTGACTGAGTGGGTGGCAAGGCTTCTGAATGGCTGCAGCTTTGGCCAGCGGGCCAGATTTATGAGCCTGGCGGGCCGGATCCAACCCACGGACCTTAGTTTGAGGACCCCTGTGCTAAAAGATTCACAGCGGGGAAACTGCAGCAGTCCTAAATGCAGATATTATGGGGAAATATAACAAATGCAATTCCCAGCTGGGGCAGGAGAGGAGTAGCAAAACAATTTTAATTAGATCTAAGAAATAAGTCATGAAACGAATGAAACTTTTAGACAACAATAACAGAGAGAGTTAACTATTCTCTTGTACCCTGGGCTTCAGCAGGATTGAGAAGTGATAGCAACAGGTTATCAGACATCAAACCACCAATGTGGTTGCAAATTATAAATTGGCAGGGGCATCCAAAGTGTTTCCCCAAAGAATGATTCCTACACGGCTAGGAAAGAGTTTCATGACTTTATGTGTAGGAGGAGAGTCAGCTATTGTTTGTACACTCTTGTCAGTATTTGCATTATGTTCTTGCCTCATTGCATCAGCTCTGGTACACGACTATGTTTAAAATAGACTCGTGTTGCTCAGCAGCAGAAAACAAAACATTGTTCTTGCCAACACCATTGGCAAACTGGAGATAATTTAAACTGAAGGGGGTTGGGGGGTGGAATTAAACCCAAAGAGGTGGTCTTGTCTTTTCAAAAATCCAAAAAGTGTACAGTCACTGTCAACCAATATGTTCTTTTTTCTTTAAAAATATTTTTTATTAAGTTTTCAATTTTACATTTTCCAATAAACATTTTACAAACTTCAAAATATCCAATGACTTCTCTTATTCTCTTTCCATGGTTCATTTTACATATCATACACTCCTGCATATTTTACTATAAGCATTCAAATCAGTTTTCCACTTTTACATCCATCAAAAAATATTTACTCTGTTGAATTTATCTTAGTGCTGCCAGAGTTTTCAGGGGTCCTTTAGCTTTACCTTTACCTTCCCTGAACAAAGTGCCCACGGTCATCTCCTTGAAACCGAGGAGGCATCCACAGGAGGAAATGTTGTAGTAATTGGTGATTTCAATTACCCTCACGTAGACTGGCTAAATGCATGTTCCAGGACCAGTCACAACAAAGAGGCAACATTTCTAGATACCGTAAAAGACTGTGCCCTGAAACAGAGGGTAGTGGAATTGAGCAGAGTGCAGGTAACACTTGCCTTAAATTGCATTATTCTAGTTTGTAGCTATTTTGCAGCTGGGATCTCATACTGGTAAATTTCAGGTTGCACAATTCAAGTAGAATTGCTGCTTTTGTGCCGCAAAGCAAAAAGAAAACTCGCTTCTTAAAAAAATGGACTTTTTTGCAGTAAGAAAAGTGATGAAATAACATTGCTTTGCACAACGTCATATAACTTCACTGACTTAAGGTAGTAGCCTCTTCCACATATTTTCTTTCTTTCTTTCTAATTCTTTATTGATTAAAAAATTACATATCTATACAAACATTATATGCTATTTTTTTACATATGAAGAAAAAGAAAATTATGTAGAGAGTAGAAAAATTCTACAGGAACAAAAAAGAGGAAAAGAAAAAAATAAAGAAATAACAAAGATACAAAGAAAAAAATCAGAAGAGGAAAAGAAAAGACAAGACAACATTATTTACGCAATAAAAGTGTTCATCGACAAAATCCTCCCCATCCTTCTCATTATGCTGTAATATATCCACATATTTTCTAAATGAATTCTACATGTTAAGTGTGTGTTAATAGCAAGCCTGAAGTTCTGCCTGAAGTTTCTTCGCTCCTTCTCTCTGCAGCACAGTCCATTTCAATAATTCCGCAGCAGTTGGAGCAGGAGAAAGGGAATTTTCATTCAAACCATCACGTTTCCCCATGATGAACTTTAGGAAAATTTCTACGTTCACTTCTAAATATTGTTCCCGCATACACCTGTCTCCCACACTTCCCAAACAATGCAGTTGACCAATCAGCTTCGCAGGAGCACTGTGAATTCACTTTTGTTGATATGTAGCTAGGCAACGGGTCAGTGACAAAAGAGAACTTGCCATTTCTGTAGCAACGCAAGATGCTAACGTACTAATTTCTTAAATAAGAAAGGATATGCTAAGACCTAACGCTTTGTTTCTGCTTATTCCTCGGTGTGCACAAAGGAATCATTATGTGGGAGTTTAAGTACTGAGATTTTAAGGTAAGAACAAGGAACAAAGAGAAGAAATATAACTACCAGGAGGTCAGCTCAATAAAACATATCCCTGTTTTGGATGAGGTTGAGCTATTGATCCCAATGAACCTCTTTTAATAGGTATAGCATGTTCATAGCATAGGATTTATTTTATTTGACCAATATGTATATAATGTTTGATTATAAAAATAATAATCTCTAAGCAGTTTGCAACTAGTGAGAGGTTTACTCCATTGCAATAAATTAAATTGCAAATTTGAGATTCCTGGTATTTTAATAGGATCACTGGTATCTATCTCATGAAGTAATATAGGAAAACTATTTGAGCGCTTTCATGTTTTATTAATGATCAAAAGGGAATTATTATTATTATTATTATTATTATTATTATTCACTTTGCCACGCCAGAGGAAGCAGCACTGGCTCCTAGTAACTTTCAGTGCCAGATGTAACAAACAGAAAAAATAAAGTGTAATCCTGATCATATTAAGCTAGTGCAAAATACAGAACTTCATTTTTGAGCACTATGTAACCTGAAACATACCATTGCCTTTTCAATGGTAGAAAAGTTATAATACGATCACATTCGAATGACATGAAAATATAAGCTGATAAACAAATGTTTCACCATGTTCACAGTGTTCATAATCATCAGAATTAGAACTAACAGCTCTTTGAAAGCGAACTCTGACAATTCTGGCCACTGGATGTAACTGTAATGATTTCCAGGGACACATTTTTGCTAGAAAAGTCAGACACCATGTATTTGAACATCATGGTAATTTTTCCCTATTATTTGTTTCATTTTATACTGCCATGCATAACATATTCTGAGATTACTAAGAAGACTAGTTAAATGATTATTTACAGTGTGTATATTTGTTTCCTTTCATATTGCTGTGAATATTTGGAAATTATTAAGAGGACTTCTTAAATGATTATTTACAGTGTACACAGCAAGCAGATCCAACACACACGCACCATTTCTTCATTAGATATTTAGCAATTAAGTCTTTGTGTTTGTAGTCTGAAGAAGAACAGTTTGGCTTCCAACCGGATGAAGTTGTTTATTTTTGGCAAATACGGATTTTCATTTAATATACCATGCACAATCTTGGTTGCATCCCTTAATGAAAGTCGCAGCAGATGGAACTATGATATACTTCTCTCTAAAACCTCAGATTTTAGTGAGGTGCTGCTATGTGAGGAACTGCAAGACAGGAAACAAGGGCCCTTTTGCAGTGATGAAAATTAGGAGCAAAGTAGAAGTTGCCCGCAGTGAAACTGTCAAGGCTTAGTGGGGATGACTGAAGATATCTCTGCACCACACATGATCAAATTCAGAAACCCCATAAAAACAAGAAACATTTCAGGAGACTCGACCTCCATGAAGTAAAAGGCATGTAACATGGATGGTTAGACCTTTAGATGTAATCACAGAGGTTGTTGTTGTTGTTGTTGTTATCATCATTGTTGTTGTTGTGCCCTGCCCATCTGATTCAGTTGCCCCAGCCACTCTGGGTGGCTTCCATGAAATACAAAAGCATGATAATGATAATGATAATAATTTATTTATACCCCGCCCATCTGGCTGGGATTCCCCAGCCACTCTGGGCGCTCCCAACCAAATATTAAAAACACGATAAAACATCAAACATTAAAAACTTCCCTAAACAGAGCTGCCTTCAGGTGTCTTCTAAAATTCAGATAGTTGTTTATTTCCTTGACATCTGATGGGAGGGCGTTCCACAGGGCGGGCACCACCACCAAGAAGGCCCTCTTCCTGGTTCCCTGTAACCTCACATCTCGCAGTGAGGGAACCGCCAGAAGGCATCAAACATTAAAAAGACCAAAATATAGAGAACACCGGCAATTCATGTGGTCCACGAATCCCTACTCTGCCATAGAAGAAACACAATATCACTTTGAGCCATCCCCTCACCCTAGCAAAACTGCATTCCTTCCTTTATGGAACTTCTAAGTCAATTCTGACAGTGGCCAATAGTGTCACACTTGTCCTTTTTTCTTTTTTCTTTGTCTAAACACTGCTTAAAAACAAAATTTAACAGCATGTATAAAAGAACAATATACAGTCGAACTTTGAAAGTCAAACAGAATCTGTTCTGGAAGTCCATTCGACTTCCAAAACGTTTGAAAACCAAAGTGTGGCTTCTGATTGGCTGCAGGAAGCTCCTGCAGCCAATCTGAAGCTGCGGAAGCCCCATCGGACGTTTGGCTTCCAAGAGAACGTTAAAAAACCAGAGCACTCACTTCCAGGGTTGCGGCGTTCAGGAGCCAAAACGTTCGAGAACTAAGCTGTTCGAAAACCAAGGTACGACTGTAGTTATTTTGATGGGTCTAAACAGAGATTTCAGTCTTCCTCAGCAACCCGCAGGAAATAATTAAAATAATCAGAGGCCTTTCAGCAAGGCCTTTTTGTATCTTTAGCTACATCTCATGATCTGAAAAATCAAAGCAGCAAAAATGAAGTTATACTGCATATTTTTCCAGAGAGGAGAGGTACTGGCCAATGTTTGTTTGATTGTTTGCCAGTGTGGAAAATCTGGACCTCTGAAGCTTGTGAAGTCATATTGATGTATCTGCAGATAAGCAGCAAGAAACCAATAAATTTCCAAAAACAAAAGGAAGGAATCTAAAGGCAGCAATACAAATTTTTCACAGTTAAAGCTGAAGGAGTTTTGTTTGTTTGTTTGTTTGTTTGTTTGTTTGTTTGTTTGTTTGTTTGTGCTTCTGTGCAATGATATATCATGATACTCCTAAAACACTTTAAGAACTTGGTTGTTCTTCCATTCTTCAGTCTGAAGGCAGGTAAGGTGAACCCCCACTTAGGTAGGGATTACGTTCTGGTGCCACACGCACATAAGTGAAATTTGCAAAAGTAGGGAGCACCCTCTAAAGAGCCTTTAAATGATCTCTCTGCTCCTCTCACTCCACTCTAGATAAAAAATACTGCAACTAAAATATCCACAACTGGAATTGAAGCTCTGGGGCTGGCAGGAGGCTGGAGGAAGTGCAGGAACGCTGTTACTGCTGCACTACAATGGTGCTGTGGTCTAAACCACTGAGCCTCTTGGGCTTGCCAATTGAAAGGTCAGCGGTTCGAATCCCCGTGACGTGCTGAGCTCCCATTGCTCTGTCCCACCTCCTGCCAACCTAGCAGTTTGAAAGCACACCAGTGCAAGTAAATAAATAGGTACACCTGCAGCAGGAAGGTAAACAGCGTTTCTGTGCACTCTGGTTTCCGTCACGGTGTCCTGTTGCACCAGAATCAGTTTAATCATGCTGGCCACATGACCTGGAAAGCTGTCTGTGGACAAATGCCAGCTCCCTCGGCCTGAAAGCGAGATGAGTGCTGCAACCCCATAGTCGCTTTTGACTGGACTTAACCATCCAGGGGTCCTTTACTTTTTTACTTTTACAGTGCTGTTAGGCATGGAGGCTGAGCAGCCTAAACAAAGCCCCGCTGTATCACCAGTCTCTTCTCTGCTCTCACTGAAGCCCTCTTTTGGCTCTGGGGAGGGTCTCCCCACACGCCATGAGGACATAGCTGTCAACTTTCCCCCCCTTTTAAGGGAAATCCTATTCAGAATAAGGGACTTTCCCTTTAAAAAAGGGAAACGTTGACAGCTATGCATGAGGACCCTCCAGCTCTCTCTCACCATTTCCTGATATGAATGTACCATATTTTTCGCTCTATAAGACGCACCAGACCATAAGACGCACCTAGTTTTTGGAGGAGGAAAACAAGAAAAAAATATTCTGAATCTCAGAAGCCAGAACAAGAGGGATCGCTGCGCAGTGAAAGCAGCAATCCCTCTTGCTGTTTTCCCTTACTTTTTAGGAGGGAAAAAGTGAGTCTTATAGAGCAAAAAATACGGTAATTATTTCCCAGCGCCATGCATTTACACAGTCGCGCACAAGTAGGGGGTTGCCTCTATTCTTTTCAAGGGGCTTTCCCTAACAAAATTCCTATTGAATAGAAATCAAAATGGATTGCGGGACTGTGGCTGATCTAATTACCTAGCGGGCACGACGACGTTTCTTTCAACCCAAATCAGTGTTAAAAGGATGCAGGACTGACAGATGTATTTCTGTGAAGCATTTATACCTGGTGGGATCCTGAGAGATGGGGGAAGAGAGAACCTCTTTTTTACAGATAATTTTTTTACAGATCAATGGAGGAAAAAAACTAGAGAGCCCTCATGTGTATGTACATGAGTTTTATATCCAAAGACATCCATGAAGCAAACAAAAGAATCCTTTTCCTGTGGAGTTTTCCCTCACATGAAATCTATACATTTTAGCCGACTGTCATATTTCCTCTCGCCCCTAAGCACTTGACCAAACCATTAGGATTACTGCTTAGAGAAAAGGCTACTCTTGGAGATTAGTGAGAACCATATTGTGAGAGACTTTGAAAAGATTAATGGAAATTTAAACCACAGGAGAGCTCTTCCTCATAGAATATTTTTTTTGAAATGTAGATGAACTAAATTTGGATTAGTTGCTCTTCGGTTGTGAGATATTACATATGAAGTAGCGCCTTCTGGCAGCATCTAGATGAGCTTCTGTATTTCTATGCATTGTCTTATTTGGATCCAGATAGTCCATTACATTGAAATTTATTTTCATTAAAAGCACATGGTTTATGAATTAAGGCCATCGCGGAGGACTGCTGATGGCTCAAGCATTGTCCAAAAGAAGAATGATGACCCATATTTGGCTACCGCTCACTTTTGTCTTCACGTTCAGAAAGAAAGCTACACTTTGTCATGCCTTTTATAGAGAAAAGTTAATTTACTTTTAAAAACCTTATACGCTTTCTAGTCGACGGGGAACATGATGGAGGGTTTCAGATTTACGGATGTGAACTTACAGGACATTTCCAACTTGGCAGAAAGGAAAAGAGACCAAATGGTGTAATCCCCCAAATAAAGCATAAATCTATTATGAAACGTATCCAGCAGAGATCTTGGAAGTCCAACAAGAGGCTATATTGTTAACAGGTTGTTTATGGTTTCTCTTCTTGACTGATTCATAGCTTGACTCATTCAACATTCTTTACTGCATTACTGCTTGAAATTATTGTAAAGGGGAACAGCTTGATCATCCATGATACACATCTATCCATGGAAAATGGACTGGTGGATAAAGCCCTAGCTGGGTAAAACACAGGTAATGTTCCGAGATACTCCTTTCCCATGACCCTCTAGTAAGCTTTGCCTTTTCTTTCTCCGTGACTTGAAAAAGGTTTCACTTTCTCACAATTATCTGGGGCCTCCTAAAAAAAGTTTGGGGCGCATTCAAGTTGCATTACTACTTACTGAACCACTTTTATTATTTTACCGTTATTACAACTACTACAGCAGCCGTCGAGAGCAAGAAGGATAGTTCGCCACGATATGCAAATGCTTTAAACATATCATTCGCTTCCTAACGATACTGCAAATGGCAACCCACTAGAAAATACTTAAGCCACACTTTCTGATGTCTAGCTAGCAGCGTTCCATCAATGGAATTGCTGTGGGGAACATCATAGGAACTAGCAATGTCTTCCATGACAGGAAAACATTGCAATTAAGGAACACCGATGTATCAATTTGTAACAACAATTCCAGGAGATCAACTCTTCAAAAAGACATATACAGTGGTACCTTGGGTTAAGAACTGAATTCTTTCTGGAGGTCTGTTCTTAACCTAAAACTGTTCTTAACCTGAAGCACCACTTTAGCTAATGGGGCCTCCCACTGCCGCCGCGCTGTCGGAGCACAATTTCTGTTCTCATCCTGAAGCAAAGTTCTTAACCTGAAGCATTATTTCTGGGTTACTGGAGTCTGTAACCTCAAGCGTATGTAACCTGAAGCGTATGTAACCCAAGGTACCACTGTACATATGAGAAGGAAATATTATATGTATATATATGTGTGTGTGTGTGTGTATATAATGTTTTGACTGTTAGTTGAAACAACTTCCCGGTTATATGGTTTACGTATCCTCCAACATTTCTCCAATGAGAATAGGGATGTCCTGTTCCATAACAACAACAACAATAATAATATTTGTTATTTATTTATACCCCACCCATCTGACTGGGTTGCCACTCTGGGTGGCTTCAAACATATATAAATACGTAATAAAACATTAAACATTTAAAAAAACTTCCCTGTACAGGGCGGCCTTCAGATGTCTTCTAAAAGTTGTATAGTTACTTATCTCCTCGGCTTGGGAGTCGCATAACTCCATAGCCTCCAACATTTCTCTGATGAAAACAGGACGTCCAGGGCCTTTTTTGCAGCTGGAACTCACCAGAACTCAGTTCTGGCACCTCTCAAGTGGGTGCCATTGCTATTATAAGATGACAAGGGAAGCAGGACTTTCCGAGATCAAATAAGAAACCAGGATGGCTTCTGTAAATCCAGGACTGTCCCTGGAAAATAGGGACACTTGGAGGGTCTGACTTATGAATTCAGGCAAATGCAACAGACAAATGTTTTAGTAGCTACTGTGCCTTCTCAGTGTTATGGACAGGATTTACTTTGTCTTATTATTACAGGTGTTTTATTTCTTTTGTCTTGTACAGAATCAACTTAATGTAACACACGAGGCTGTACAATGTGGCAACACCAATAGTTATTGCTATGAATGCAGAATAAAAAAAAATGTTTGGAAGAATGACAGTGAGGTGACCGACAAAAACCACGCAAAAGCACAAACCTATACATGCTTACTCAGAAGTAAGCCCCACAGTGGTGAGTGGGGCTTACTCCCAGGTAAGTGTGTACAGATTGCAGCTGAAATGTTATATATGCAGAAATGCTCAACATAAAAATATTGCATTTGGCTACACTAGTTATTTTACTCTCTCTCTCTCTCTTTTAAAAAAATGTTTTAAAACAATTAAACATCTGCCTACAACTTACCGTGTTTTTACATACATATTCCTCCTATTTTTTTCCAGGATTTAAAAAAATAGACACTAAAAAAATAGTAAAACAGAAAAAACACCACAAAAAGGCAACATTGCTGGGAGTGTTAGAACATTGCAAATGTGCTCAGATCTATCACAGCTGCCCTCTGTTTTAGGATCTTGTACCTCTTTATCCCAGAGAGCTTCATTGTTTTTAAAGGAACAACAGGTCAACCAAAAGACAACCACAAAGTCCAAACAAGAAACACTACATAAATCCAGACATCCTGTTAATGGAACATTGTTGACTTCATGGAAACGGCTTTAATGAAAAAGACTCTGAGCAAACACAATAAAACACTGCCCAATGCTGGAAAAGTCCTTGCTAATATCTCCACCAGCTCGTCTTTAAGACAGGCTTCAAAATCCACTGTTTCAGATCCATCCATGCTCTTGTCAGGAGTGGGTTTAAATTCTACCCTTAAAACAAGTGCTGGGAAGAAGAGGCCGGGGACTGTGGTGGTATCAAAACGATCAAGTACTGGTGGCATGTCTCAGGATCAGTTGGATCGGCCCGTTATTCCCCCGAGAAGACCTGGCTTCAGGATCTGCCATATCTGTGGCAAAGAGTTTGGGTCACAATCTCTTCCTATCCACGAGCCAAAATGCCTGGAGAAGTGGCAGATAGAAAACGATAAGCTGCCCAAACATCTCAGAAGACCACCGCCCGTTAAACCTCAGGCTCTTCCTGGAGGATCTCTGGGTACGATGGCTGAAAACGCAGCAGCTGCTCAAAGTTACAAGCTCCTACCCTGTGAACACTGTGGCCGTACTTTTCTTCCAGATCGTCTTGCTGTACACCAAAAGAGTTGTAAACCAAAAGCTAGTTCAGGTCCTTCAAGCTACAGCTCCTCTAAATCACAGAGATCCACTGGGCCTGCATCTTCCACCTCAGACAAGGTAAATTAGAAGGCATCACACCTACGAAAAAAGCAAAATTGTTTCCTGTGCAAATTCCACCTTGGCATTCCAGTGCCGTTGAAGTTAATGGTAAAACCTTCACTATTGACTTCAATCAAGCTAGGAGATCATTTCAGGGACTATAAATGAGTGAGTAGCCTTAAACAAGCCTAAGGTGATGCCAGGGTCACTTTCCATGTTCTGAATAAGTTATCAGCAGAAATGCAGATTTCATAGTAAGCACATTGCTTGTATAAGAAAAACATCACAACCATGGTTTTTGTAGTGATGGTAGCAGTGATTTAATTAACATGAAGTTCAGTGTTTATATAAATCATATTAGACATTTTTGGTTTCTAAAATGCTATAGATAACGACGGAACGATGTTCAAGTTTAAGGTTGGTGGCTTAACTCAAGTTTATGACGCAGCACAAATATAGGCAAGCAGATGGCACAGATTTTCCACTGAAACTCATGTAGAAACCATAATTAAAACAAAAAAGCACTTAGAGCCATACCAACATATAATTCTGCTTGTGAAAGGACCCATGAAATCCTTTTCATATATTCTGAATGTTGGTTTAATGGATGTGGACAGATGCTTGCAGTTCTCGTCCTACGGAGTTTGCAAGGAATCCTTCACCTCAGCTTGCCCTCTAATTGTGATTTATTTATGGGAATTCGGGGGATAAAATATATTTGTCAAGCAGCCGATATGAATAAAAAGGCTGTGAGCATCTGCTAAGTGCTATAAATTCAAAGAATCCATCCCCTTGGAGTACAGGTTTTTACTTTGCATCTCTCTGAGGTTGAATTAACATGTGCCAAGTCGAACAGCATTAGATACTTTTGTGGGAGTTACTCATTTGTACACAAATAGTGTACAAATGGACATTACATGAAGGACACTGCTGAGTGAATTCAAGAAGGTACCTCAACATCGTTTGTTGCTTGGCTTTCTAGTCAGAAAGAAGTTGTAATTCTTCTTGTCGTGAGCCAAGGCAGAGAGGACTAAACTCTGGCCATGTTCTCCGTAGCAACAATTCATGATGTATTGTTATGTTTCATATATTCCTGGTCTTCTCTTTGTGGTTATTAGCCACTTTTATAACAAAAAAGGTCAGTTCTATATGAAAGGAGAAATGGGAAGGAATATGAAAGAAAAAGCAAAAAAATAATCTGAGTGATATGATATCCTATAATTTTAAATCTGAAAGTGACGAAGAAGAAAATTGGATTCAGATATTAACCAACTCCCCCATTTTTAATTGCTGTAACCTTCCTTCCAAAAATGGCCCAAGAATCTACAGAGAATTCACAGCTATCTATTAATTACTGGCAATTCTTTATGTAATTAGGGGGCAATCGCCAACCAGATGAGGGCACAGAACTACATTCAGAGTCCGTTTCTTCCACCCACCCACCCATCTTGGTGCATGCGTTCATATAAAGTTCATGTAGTAGCAACATCCTAGCATATAGTTGTTTAATTTATTTGTTTATAATAACTATTTTTTAATGTTAGCTTTTTAAAGTATGGCAGGTTTAAAAAGGAGTTTGAGGGCTTTTGGGAGGGGATCCTAAACAAAAGACTTACTGAAGTATTTCACTGTAGGCATACTATTGAATTATGGTGTATAACAATAAGAATTTGTCTCCCTTGGCATTTTCTTGCAATACTTGCATTTCCTTTGTTTCTTTTCTCTGAACCTTCTCATGGGATTAGCATCTTCATTGAAGTCAGCCAGACAAAACATTTGGGAAGGTGGCACAGCTATATTATAAATCTGAACCAACTTCAAACCAGTTTAAATGTCACGGCTTCCCATTAGAGGATTCAGGGAATTGTTGTGCTGCGAAGGAACTTGGTATGCCCTCAAAAACCGATAGCTTCCTTTGTGTGTCAATCGAGTTTGCATTTGAAGTATAGAATGCTGGAGAAAGGGAAAGACACTTACAACCAAGCTCTCTTGAGCCATACTTAGCCAAGTTGTTGAAGAACACGCTCTATTCATCTATGGAGGTATAAGATTGATAGGCGTGAAAACAGGTCAGTGGAAACTGCCGTTGGCCTTCCTCTACAAAGTTGGACTGAAGGGGACAAAAAATTAGAAGGGAAAGATAGTGGTAGCATAGAGATAGAAGGGAATTGGGGCTAGTGAAGATCCTGGTTTGAGTTGAACAGAAAACATTGGGTATGTCTTCGCACATACACATTTCCATCCCATAAAGAGCAGGACTGAAGAGATGGCAGACCATAACTTCCACAATGTATTTGGAACGCTTGTTCTGAAGGACTCTCTAAAAGGTCTGGTCATAAGAATAATCATTGCTGTTCCCCTCAATTAAGCAGGGCACAGTGCCCATAGCAGGACAATAAATTTGTCCCATTGCATTGTTATGCTAGACCTCATTTTCTTCTGATTCCCTCACCAAGTGTTTCCTGAATTGTAGAGTCAAGCCAGTTTGCCTGTAATGGGTTTGTTAGGCCAAAGTTGTTATTTTGTAATCCAATTGGTAATGGAATGAATGGGCTCATTTGGATTAACTAAGCCTGATTATATCTTCAGTAAACAGCCTAAGCCTCATAGACTTTGGCTGTGCTGGTCAGTTTTGATAGCCCTGTTCTCAAATCCGGCTTACTGCTGGAATGGAAATGTAAACAACCCTTAGACAGATAGTCTCACAATCCAGTTCCACGCTGCAAAGAAAGGGGGCACAGTTATTTTGTAGGGCATATTTCTCCATTTCCTGCATAAATCACAATTGCATGCTTTTGATGTCTTTTTCATTGCTCTCTTTGTCAATTTATGGTAAAAATTTCATTCTGAAATTTCATTGGTTGTATCTTGACTATCTGGTGCTGCCATCTGCTGTCTTTTCCCTGTTCTATGCCTGTTTCCAAAATAAAAGCATATTTTGGCCTGTAGTCTTTTCTCTGTCACTGCACAGAACCAAAGGTCCAAATCTTTTTCTACTTCAGTCTTTGCCAACCTGGTGCCTTCCAGATGTTTTGGACTACAACACCCAATGGCCATTTGTTGGCCAAAACATCTGGAGGGCAAAGGTTGACAAAGTCTGTTCTATGCTGTCATTAGAAGTTGAGCCACTGGATCCATGTTTTCCCAAAATGTGAGGAGTGGGGGGGGGGGGCAGAATTTTGAACCCTCTGTGCTTCCTATCCTTATCTCTGCACTTAATTTCCAGCATTAGGTAAAGGTAAAGGGACCCCTGACCATTAGGTCCAGTCGTGGCCGACTCTGGGGTTGCGGAGCTCATTTCGCTTTATTGGCCGAGGGAGCCGGCGTACAGCTTCTGGGTCATGTAGCCAGCATGACTAAGCCGCTTCTGGCAAACCAGAGCAGCACACAGAAACGCCGTTTACCTTTCTGCCGGAGCAGTACCTATTTATCTACTTGCACTTTGACGTGCTTTCGAACTGCTAGGTTGGCAGGAGCAGGGACTGAGCAACGGGAGCTCACCCCGTCATGGGGATTCGAACCGCCAACCTTCTGATCGGCAAGTCCTAGGCTCTGTGGTTTAACCTACAGCGCCACCCGCTTCCCAATTTCCAGCATTATTTCATTGTAAAAACCTTTCATCAGGAGAAAAATAGTGTTGCGCACCACTCCGGTCCTTTGGAATGAGGGACAGTGGAGACTGTGGTGTCTCTATGATATATGGTTTCTTTACTCGTATATACAACCTGAGCCTATGATGGAGGGATTCACAACATTAACACACCAAGAGGGCCTTGGATTCCAACAGAAATCAGGCATGGCTCTCGCTCCTTGGCTTTGCAGCCTGCTCCTTCCTTCCAGCTTCTAGCTCACATCACTCAGCTCCCAACTCTTTGTCTTTCTAATGAACAGACAGTTGAGGGAGGGAGACATACCCCTGTGTCTTCTGGCACAGAGCCACCTCCTTTGTTACCTCAACGACCCATACTTATGCCAATAGTCCAGCTGTTCCAGGAACTGAATCCATGCTGGATGCAGGAATTAGAAGGGGCCCAGGCATACAGCCTACCAACACCCACCCACCCCCCAAAAATCTCATCACAATAGCTTTTGTGGTCATTCCATCCAATATGTCCAAAATAAGAAAACAATTTTAAGGGCATGCTTGGCCTGGTTACAGTGGGAGGCAAGTTTAATTATGTTTGCTTCTGTGTGTCAAAGAAAGGCGAGGCAATTGTGGTATAACATGCAAAGCCGGGGGGGGGGAGAGATTCAGCAGTCAACGGAAAATCTTTTTTTCACATCATGTACCGTATTGTTCCATCTCTTTCCTCTTTGTCTCTGCCAGAAGTGACAGGAATCAGGGGGTGGGGATAGCAACATCAAGAGGAAGACTGGGGCCTGGAAGCTCTGGGGTTTGGCAGTGGGGCACCTTGGAAGATGCCAATGCCTGACAGAAATGCCAACTCCATGTGCTACCAATGGTTTAAACCATGCCTTATTGGGGTAGTAAAGGTAAAGGTAAAGGGACCCCTGACCATTAGGTCCAGTCGTGGCCAACTCTGGGGTTGCGGCGCTCATCTCGCTTTATTGGCCGAGGAGCCAGCATACAGCTTCTGGGTCATGTGGCCAGCATGACTAAGCCCCTTCTGGCAAACCAGAGCAGCACACGGAAACACTGTTTACCTTTCCGCCGGAGCAGTACCTATTTATCTACTTGCACTTTGACGGGCTTTCGAACTGCTAGGTTGGCAGGAGCAGGGACTGAGCAATGGGAGCTCACCCCGTCATGGGGATTCGAACCGCCGACCTTCTGATCGGCAAGTCCTAGGCTCTGTGGTTTAACCCACAGCGCCACCTGCGTCCCTCTATCGTTGTAGTAGCATATACAAATTATCGAAACCGAGACTGAGAAATGAATAAACTCTCCCATTCTCCTTCTACTGAAAGGGAAACTTCCAGCCCATCACATTTTCTTCAGTTTTCTCTAGTTTTCCCATTCTGCCCTGGCCCCTAAAGGTTGGGAATTCCTGTAGAAGAAGAACTCGTGCCTTGCATTTATAAGATTCCAAACTGGCTCTCAAAATCTCAGCTAAAGGCTCTTTCGTACTTACACTAAGAAAGATCACATAAGTAAGCCCCTCAAGAATTGTTTCCAGTCGCAATTGTGGGTACTTGTCTATGTAGACCATGGTCCAGCTTAGTAGAAGTCATTCATCATACTCACCAAGTGCTCTGGGAAAAACGGGACACCCCATTTTTTCATGTGAGATCATGGCGGCCATTTTGGGTGCCACACTTATGCACCGCGGTCTCTCACCACAAAAAAAGTACTTTTTTCTGGGGCAAGATCATAGCACAGGTCACATGACTCTCCCGGAAGACACACATCCTCGTTTTTTATTTGAAAAAGTTGGGCGGTATGTCATTTATCATACTGTATAAACAAGCACCCTCTACAAACCATTATCCAGAAACAAACTACACCTTTCTGTTTGTTTGTTTTTTTTGCAATAACCCAAGAAGCTAAGTCCCTTTCTTACCAACATTATCTTGAAGTTTGCCTGCCATCTCCAAAGTAAATTTCAAAGGACCATTTGTTCCTAAAGAGCCCATTTGAAAGCTCTTAATAGTAACCAATTCAAAACTAAATATAGTAACAGGTGTGAATTTTCTGCCAGGAATTCACAACTGAATCCATATTTTTCAGGCACATTATTAAAATGTGTTATAAAGCATAAACACCCTTCATCTCCATCCTCCACTTTGTCAGCGGGATTCTTTCCAGCAGCACAGACTGCTTGGGTTTTAAATGATTTTCTAAAATCAATTGCCTTTCTTTTAACTGAGCTTGTTGTCCACAGCCTGCATTTATACGGCGACCCCCAACCGTTATTTGCTACATTTGCGGCCGAGAGTATGGAACTCAATCCATAAGCATCCATGAACCACAATGTCTGAAAAAATGGCACATTGAGAATGATCAGCTGCCAAAACACTTAAGACGACCCGAACCCAAGAAGCCAGAGGTCGTATCCATAGGAGGTAAGTTACCATCTCGAAAGATAAACACAGAGACAGCAGGAGAAGGGGCAGCATAAACAGCCGTGAAAACCTTGCACATTAATTTTTACTTTAACTGATCAAAGCTATGCCATTTACCTGGTTTCAAGTCTTCTCTCAATTAACAAAATCAATGGGATTTATAGTGTAGAAGTCAGTGTCTCGCTATTACAAGTTTCTGTCTGCGTTTGCATATCAGCTTGCCAGCCGGAATCAGGGGTGTCAATATTTTTTTAAGGGGTGCACACCATTTGAATGGCAATGTCCATCAATCTTGGGGAAGCCCAGCCCCCCCAAATATTTTATTGAGGGGGGGCCAAAGAGACCTTGGCACCTTGGATGGCTCCTATGGCTGGAACAATTCCCCCTCCCACTGCATGCTGTTCTGGGGGTGCTCCCCCAAAACACCGCCCGCAGCCACTTTTGGGGGATGAGTGGGGAAGCCCCATGATGCAACTGGAAGCCCTTGCACAGTGCTTCTGCTGGCAGGGGTTGTGAGGTGGATCCCGGCCTATATTGCCAAAGGCCTGTTAATTATACTCATTCACATGTTAGCATAACGCTTGGAGGCACTAAATTCTGTGGCACGTGGTCTTCCATCAATAGAAGTGCCATCAGGAAGCACGTGAGAGCAGAAGTTTGGGATCTGTTCAGAAGGGGCCCCAAACGCAACAGGACTGGACTGGCTAAGGCAACGGATTGAAGGGAGCTTAACCACATCGCCATCAAAAGAGCACGCACCCCCTGCCACCAGACAGTTATGTCTAGGGACTAAAATTACCCAAGTGCACCTCTGCCCAGCACAGACCTTGAAAAGGTAGCTGATAACATCACCTCTGGAGAGGGTTTACATTGAATTGGTATAAGCTTAAAAAACGTAACAGTGTGCTGTAGGAATTGCTCCTTCCGGTAATAATGACTTTCCAGAGGCTTAGAGAGCCAGTGTGGTGTAGTGGTTAAGAGTGGTAGTCTCGTAATCTGGTGAACCGGGTTCACATCTCTGCTCCTCCACATGCAGCTGCTGGGTGACCTTGGGCTAGTCACACTTCTTTGAAGTCTCTCAGCCCCACTCACCTCACAGAGTGTTTGTTGTGGGGGAGGAAGGCAAAGGAGAATGTTAGCCGATTTGAGACTCCTTTGGGTAGTGATAAAGCGGGATATCAAAACCAAACTCTTCTTCTTCTCTTCTTAGAAGCACTGCTTTTTTCGGGGGGGGGGGGGAGGTGCTGGTACTCACCAACAAGCAAGAAAATGGGCCAGAACATGGGGGAGGGACATGGCCTGACATCAAGGCTGGGCAGTGAGGATGGGTTAGCTGCTTGATGTTCCCTCACCCACCCACTAATAATAATAATAATAATAATAATAATAATATTTTATTTGTACCCCGCCCATCTGGCTGGGTTTCCCCAGCCACTCTGGGCTGCTCCTGACAGAATATTAAAATACAGAATATTAAAAACATGATAAAACATCAAACATTAAAAACATCACTAAACAGGGCTGCCTTCAGATGTCTTCTAAAAGTCAGATAGTTGTTTATTTCCTTGACATCTGATGGGAGGACGTTCCACAGGGCAGGCGCCACTACCGAGAAGGCCCTCTGCCTGGTTCCCAGTAGCTTCACTTCTCGCAGTGAGGGAACCGCCAGAAGGTCTTCGGAGCTGGACCTCAGTGTCCGGGCCAAACGATGGGGGTGGAGACACTCTTAGTGAGCTGAGCGTTGCCGCCCAGGTGAAGAGGCCTCTGCTGCCCGGGTTTGGGAAGGAAGCAGCAGGCCTCCAGGACTCTCTCAGAGCATTGTGCCTCCTCCTCCAAGCCCAGAAAGCATTTGGCTAGCTTAGTAAAGGAGGCGCGATGCTCTGAAAGGGTCCAAGAGCCCTTCCACCTTCTTCCTCCCTCTCCCAAAATGGTGGCAGTGCTGTGTACCATTGTGTACCCTTCAGAAAAAAAGCACTGCTTAGAATTGGATGGTTTTCGACTTTCCTCATTCTAGCATTTGGAAGAGGAACACCTAGAATTTAAATTCAACAGAGTATATAATCATTGATGGATGTAATAGTGGATAATTGATTTTAATGGTTATAGTAAAATATGCAGGGATGTAAGATATGTAAAATGAAGCATGGAAAGAGAAGAAGGGAAGTCATTGGATATTTTAAAGTTTGTAAAATGTTTATTTGAAATTGTAAAGCAGAAAAGTTAATAAAAGTTATTATTAACAAAAGTAAAAGAGGAACATCTAGATAACTAGATGTTGGACTCAGCTACATTGGACTGCAAGAAGATCAAACCTATCCATTCTGAAGGAAATCAGCCCTGAGTGCTCACTGGAAGGACAGATCCTGAAGCTGAGGCTCCAATACTTTGGCCACCTCATGAGAAGAGAAGACTCCCTGGTAAAGACCCTGATGTTGGGAAAGATGGAGGGCACAAGGAGAAGGGGACGACAGAGGACGAGATGGTTGGACAGTGTTCTCGAAGCTACCAGCATGAGTTTGACCAAACTGCAGGAGGCAGTGGAAGACAGGAATGCCTGGCGTGCTCTGGTCCATGGGGTCACGAAGAGTCGGACACAACTAAACACCTAAACAACAACATTGGCAAAGAGAAATCGCTTTATACACGTTGTTTATGCATTCTAACTCTGTGGCACCAGATGGCGCTGTGGAGTTCCGTTTTTGCCAACCCAATTTCTCATACAAAATTTGCAACGCGTTTAACTGAAATGCTTCTTTGATGTGAATCTAGATCCAGCCTTTCAAGCCTTCATATGGATCAGGGACGCCGGAACAATGTTGCCAAGCCACAAGCTGTTTTTCTAATATTTGCATTGCCCCACACTGTTCGAAAGCCACTCGATCATCTGGCTGCACATTTGTAACATCCTTCGCTTACCAGTACATTCAGTGGGTGCTTCTCCCACAGCAGGAATACCTTTTTAAATGAAAAGCAGAGCAAACCAAAATGATACTTTAAAATGTAAGCATGTTTCCCATGATTACTGTGATTAACGCCAAAACAATGAAAACTGCAGAGGTATCCGAAACTTTGGAGAACTAAGTAACAAAATCTTAGACAGGTTTTACAATTGTACCATCCACCCAGTCCCGCAAGGCCTTTGAATACGAGTGAAAATCTGTGGCAGATTCCACTCTTACATATCAAAAGCCAACCATGGGTTTGTCCTGGGATTCCATCTTAGCTGGGATCCCCCTGAAACTCTATGAACTGCCTTATATAAACTGGTTGCTATTTTAAAAATGCTTTGCAACGATCACAGGGAGCCCGTTCTCTCTATCAGCTACAACTACCATCAACCCCAGTCAGCGGACAGAGTTTTTAAAGTGGAGGAAAGTGACCAGCAAAGAAAGGGTTAAGCCTCCCCGTCTCCATCATAAAGCACTTTCCCCCCAAAGTATATATATATTTTGCAATGGAGAAGTAGCCGTCAGGCTAATGTGGCTGCAATGTAATGTGCAGTTTGGCCCTGAATGTTCCAAAGTATATAGCGAACACATTCATTTCCTGCAAATGAGAAGAATACTTGCTTCAGCCAAAAAAGGAACTCCAGTTGGTGAAAAGGAATATTAGGAACAGACGCATTAAGAGATCTAAGGCTTACTCTCATATGAAGCATTGAATGTGAATCACATTACAGCTCTCGGGGTTCTTATGGAAAAATCTGTATTTTTACTTGTCATATAAACAATGGAGTCGTGTGTGTGTGTGTGTGTGTGTGTGTGTTTTAAAAGTACTAGTTTTAAACAGATTTGGGCTCAGCCACTTGCATGCAAAATATAGATAAAACTTTCCAGGGCTTTTTTTCCCCCCAGCCGGAGCTCAGTTTCGGCACCTCTCAGGTGGGCACTGTTGCCATTGTAATAAAACAAAGGAGGTGTTCCTAGTGAGCTCTGGCACCTCTTTTTCTAGAAAAATAGCACAGGTTGCTCCCTAAAGTACCATACCTTTTGGCAAAGGAAAACTATTCTCTGTTTCAAATAAAACTCTATAATTTTTTCACTATGCACTGCCAAGGAGGATTATACCGTAAGGTGTGGAAGCTGTTGGTGTGAACTTATACAGTTGCTGTACAACCTCAGTTCGAGGTAGCTTGGTGAAAAGAGGCTTGAGACCCATTTTAAGGCAAAAAGAGAAAGCAGGGGTTTGGATGCAAATTAGCCCATTTGAAATGCCCCAAATCTCTCGCCAAAAATTGCAGATACTGCTCCAGCTGCAATAGTTGGACGACAGGGGGTGGGGTGAAAATGGACTTAAATTGAGATTTTTGCCTGTCTGGGTCTTTGTGTGAGCTCCCCTCGAAGTTACAGCTTTGAAAAATGAAACAAAATTGGATCACTGACCCTAAGAACAGCACTGGGAGGGCATAATGAAGTATATAGAACACTCTGTGCTTTTCTCTTCCCTCTCTTCGGTCAGTTCCCATTGGCTCATTAGGCAGCATTTGTAAGAAGGCCAAGTGGTGAAACTCACTGATATTTAAGTGTAGGAAAATGTGTTAATAATTAGTTAAGAATGTGTAACACAGCACATGCTGAAATGCTTTCTCCGTACATGCAAGATGATTCAGTTTGTAGTTAACTTTATTTGACCCCTGAGACAATAAGCAGAGTTTTGGTGGGTTTTCGCTCTCATAAGGACTGTGATTTAGTTAAAACTGAAAGGCTCAGTCAACAGGTATTTCCTGAAAATATTTTCCATGCAAGTGGAGTATGGCTCTCCAGAATGAAAACTGATATTTTCTCTTCTTAATTTTCCAGCCAAAGGTTACTATGATCTGGATGCTTTAAACGAGTCTGCCTGGCAAAGTGCCCAGGCCCAGCTAGTTCCATGCAATATTTGTGGTCGTACCTTCCTGCCAGACAGGCTGATCGTTCACCAGCGCTCATGTAAGTCGAAGACACCGAAATAAAATATTCCTCCTTTCAAGCCAAAGTTTTTAAAGAACAAGACTCTTCTCTGACCTAGAGGTCAGAGGTCTCAGCAATGAAGAATCATAGCACTTTGTCGAATCAAGTTCCAAAAATGACCTGTGTACAATTAACTGAATATTGATTATGTAGGTGAAATATGGACATGCCATTTCTAACAGTGTTTTGCAGCGGTGGTATTGACCACGCGGTCCATAAGGATGATGGGAGTTCAACTTCTCCGGCATTCTTCACAGCAGACCGTGGCCTTAAGACTTCACAGTAAATACCATTGTTTCTCGGACACACTCTGTTATGAAGTGGCTATGCCTTTTCAGACCCAAGAGTTAGTAAATCATGTTTAAGAATACTTCTTTTTACTGAGGATGTTTCCGTTCAAAGGCCCTATCTGCAGCAAAATGAGGACAATAAAAGCTTTGGTAGGTTTCTTCAAAAGTGGGCATTCCATGTGTTTTGAAGACTAAATCTCCAATCTTGTTTCTCAGGTATTGACTCTGAGTTTACAGGCATCCATCCAGTCTTGTCTCCATAATATGAAGGAGCTTGGGTAATGGTCACATTTTCCTCCAATCCCTGTGACAAGATGTGAATGTCAACTTTGAGGCTCTAGTACTCAAGTTCAGTCCTGGCACCCATCTTATTTGCAGGATATGGAGAATCTCAGAAGTGTGTTCCCTTCCCCCAAAGAACTGCAGGCAGGGTTGGCCCAACCATGAGGCAAGGTGAGGTGACCGCCTTGGGTGGCAAGTTCCACAGGGGCAGGACATGTGGCCTCCAAGGAATGCATTGCTTACTACTGTGGTGGGACCTACAGCTGCACCATGCTCACTGGAGACCAGATCTGCCTCCTCCTCAGTAGCCCCTGCTGTGCCTTCTCTACAATGGCCTCTCAGCATATAGGAGGCACTGTTGGTCTCTTCCCACCCCTAGAGAAGAAAGGGAGAGGGGCTGCCCTCTGGGGTCTGCACCCACCACACATGATTCAGAGCAGCCCCCCTCACGGCGGCCTTTGATTCCCACTTCAACCACCCGGTAAGGTTGATTTGAATCCCTGCCCCCGTTCTCGATCTTTATTCCCCAATTGTTCCCAATGTAGAGCTCCACTCACTCCTTCTTCCTGAGTGGGTTTGCGTGCAGTGTTGTGGCTCACCTCAGGAGCCAAAATGTCTTGGGCCAGCCCTGACTGCAGGTCCTACCCATTTCTCTAATTCCCAGGTTGTTCACAACTCACTTTACAATTTGCTCCATCTCTCTTCAACATCTCAATGTTCATTCTGTCACTGTCTCCCACAATCCATGGGACTAGGGATGGAGGACCTCACTCCAGATGTCAAATAAGACTCTCTATCTGGTCCTCAAAACTCTCCCCAGAACTCCCTGGCCGTCCTTTGCACCCCAGGAGTTTTTGCCTGGCTGGAATGTGTCTTTGAACTCTGTTAATGGCTCTTGCTTGTCTGAATGGAGGCTAGAGAAGAGTGTGAGCAGAAACTAACCTGTCCTACAGAGGTTGAAATCATTAACCATTCATGACCTATTCCCTATTCCAGCTTCCTATAATCCAAAATGTTTCCCTATGTCCTTAAAACCTCCACAACATATTCTCTCTTGGAGCCAAACAAATACTACTGATAATAAATAATATTTATATTAGTGCTCTTCCTAAGCATGCAAAGCAGTTTTCATATGTGATATCAGTCAATCCAATCCAAATCTTTATTATGGTCATAGACCAGCATAAGGTATCAGTCATCATTACAAATGAAAAATCTGAGGTTGGAAGAGATTGGCTTGGCTATGACTAATATGCAATGAATTCTAACCATGGTGACATTTGAACTTAAGAGATCTGACTTATGGGCCTAGTTTTCATAAACAGTAGATGAGTGATTAAACCGTTTCTGGAAGAAACCATCTCAGGCTGCAGCTGACAGCTCACATGACAGAAAGCTCCCTCATGAAAAAATATTTTTACACGTAGAAAACGAACTTGTCAAGCAGAAGGATAACCTTTGTCCTGGAACTTAGTTTTCTATATGCATAATTTCATGTGTCTTTGGAGCAACATTACATCATAAAATCTCCCCAGGTTTTTCTCTTCTTTTGCTGTTTGTGATAATGAGGATGTAGCTCATGCTTTTTAACACCCGATTGCATCATCTATATAGGTTTATCAGGGGAAAGTAAGCCAAGAATAAGGCCCACGATGGAAGCCTTGAGTCTTTGCAGCAGACTTGATGCAGTAGACCAAACTGAGGGCATCTGTTTACTTTGAATATGGAGATCTTGCTTTCATGGCATGCAAGAAGGTAATCTTGCTTAAAGGACCCTTTGCAAGTTTGCCCACTTGAATTGAGAATAGATCTTCTCATTTCTCATATTCTTGGGGGGGGGGGGATGTTGTTTCCACCAATTCACACTGGGCTTTACACCAACCACATCACAATACAGAGGAATTACGACTCCTAGTAATGCATTCAATATATGTGGAATCTTGTTTCCCGGGGGTGGAAACCTGAGGATTCGTTTTGAAGAAAGCACATTTCCAGTTGATACTTAACAGCTAACAGATTGGCAGTGTTAATTTGCAGTCTGTACAGTGGTACCTCGGGTTACAGACACTTTGGGTTGCAAACTCTGCTAGCCAGGAAGTGGTTGCTCCAGGTTAAGAACTTTGCCCCAGGATAAGAATGGAAATCGCGTGTCAGCGGCGCAGCGGCAGCAGGAGGCCCCATTAGCGAAAGCGCTCCTCAGGTTAAGAACCGTTTCAGGTTAAGAACGGACCTCTGGAACGAATTAAGTTCTTAACCTGAGATACCACTGTATATGACAAGTCTAAGCATCAGAGAGGACTCGGTGTT